CACACACACACACACACAATGTGCCCACCCACTTAAAGAAGTATACACACACACACGCGTGCAGCCATCTCCTGTTGTTGCCTGCAAACTATGTAACAATGCTGATTCCAAGGCAGAGGATTAAGATTGCGTTGCGGCTGTGGATGCCTGTTCTCATGCTCAGGATTGTGGTGGCTCACACTCTGGTAAGGTGTTCGGTGTGAAGCGCAGTGTTTGTGTCGGGCACAGAGCTCAGCCCAACATTTTCTTCTTTTATTGTAGGACTTTTGCTTCGGTGGAATCTGTTAAAGGATTCATTGACGTTGCAGTGTTTGTCCTAATATTTATAGTTTGTCTGATATTCATGTTTAGAAAGTTGCAATGATTTATTTTCATAGTTAAATCTTGTCAGACCTGCTGCAGTGAACGCTTGGTTGGTTGGAATATTTCATAACTAGTTTGCTAAAAGTGTCTGAACAGATATTTCAGAGTTTCTCGATTAAATGAGGCTTGCAACAAACAAACACCTCTGCTTCACGTTTATGGACTTTAAGGTTGTGCGATATATAAAAATGTTCCAACCGACAGTCCAATAACCGATGATAGGAGAAAAAGTCGTGCAGCTGCAGACTTTTTGATGGGCGGAGCAATGCAATCATGCACGGACTGATTTGCGCATTTTAAATTTCTAAGTTTTGTTTGGAGGGAATATTTTAGCTTCTTTTCTTGTTTGTTTCAGTGTTATTATAGATACTTTTTGGATTATTCATTTATTTATTTGAGATGCGCCAAATCCAACAAAAGACTTAACTTTACATCAGAGGGTTTTATGTTCACTGGAAGAGACATTTTGATTTTTAACTTACTTCTTGCTTAATTTGTATTTGTTGTTCGGTCGAGTGTGTCAGACAGATAAACACTGGAACAGCCTGTAAGCACGTTTCAGTGGGAAAAGCTCGTTCCTCTTGTTTCCAACATTGTGGTTTTTTAAATTTTAAATAAAATGCTGTTGTTCGTTAAAACGGCACTGTTATTTTTGACTGCTTCTCTTAGCTTCAACCAACATTATTAACAAATGTACTCACGGGCAAAAAAAAATAAAAACGATCAGCGAAAGGCTCCGCCTATCGTCGATAGTCGATGTATTTGTCCAATCACCGATGGACGCTTTGATTTATTAGAAACCTGTCAAGGACTTTAGTTTCATCATGAAATCTAGTCTTTGAAATAAAGTTGTGACTATGGATTTGTTACGTTTGATTGTTGCAGTGGTTGTGCATTTAGACCTGAACCTTAGTCTTTGGATCACCAGTGACTGTAAGATAACATTTAAATAGCATGAAGGAACAGCCTTCATGTTTTCTGCAATCCATATAGATGATAGTATTTTCTGGGGTTTTTAATTTGGGTTTTTCTTTCCAAACAATAAAAAAAAAAAAAAAAAAAGAGTGCACATGGTGTGTGTGTGTGCGTTACTCTGCAGATCCCGGGTCCCATCCGTCCCCATGCAATCATCATTTTGCCAAACAAAGCTGGAACAGAGGTCCTGGTTTGCTATGAAGACGAGGGCGTCTACATTGACACCTATGGCCGTATCACCAAGGATACAGTGCTGCAGTGGGGGGAAATGCCTACATCTGTCGGTAATGTTGGAGCACACATCTTTATGCAAATGCTATATACACCCATAAAGGTCTATTTTTGTACACAGTGCGTCTTTGTGCAGGTACCACTAACAACAACCCAATTGCGATGATTAGTCGGGCACTGCTTAACATCACTGTAGATTTTTCCAGTTCGACTCACTAGATCTGGATGAGCAGCTGTCCTGCCACTGAGAACTTAACCTGAACCACATTCAGTGGAGACAGATCAGGGACAGGGTGGGCTAAAAATACGATGGTAGTCAATCTGTGTGTGTGTTTTTGGGGCATGGAGATGAGGCAGTATTCAAGTATAAGGAGTAAAAATGTAGGACACATATTTAGACTGTTTTCTCATACTCGTCTGTTTCTCTCCAATCCAGCTTACCTGCAGTCTAACCAGGTGATGGGTTGGGGAGAAAAGGCCATAGAGCTGAGGTCAGCGAACACGGGGAACCTGGAGGGAGTGTTCATGCATAAAAAGGCTCAAAAGCTGAAGTTCCTGTGTGAAAGGAATGACAAGGTAGGAGGAACCTACGACAAAAAACAGCCTCACTCGCTTTATTTATGCACCGTTTGTTTGATTTCAGTTCCTAAAAGCACCGTCTTGTTGCAGGTTTTCTTTGCGTCGGTGCAGTCGGGCGGCAGCAGTCAGATTTACTTCATGACTCTCGGACAGAACTCGCTGTTCAACTGGTAACACCGAGACCAGTTACCTCTGGGATCGACTGGTGGGCGTCTGCCTTCATTGTTCTGGGTTATCCTGGTGATGCTTTGTTGTGTGTTTTTTGGCTTTGTGCTGACCTGCGTTGACCTCCGTGAAGTGGTGGATACCATTGCAAGAGTCTGCTCGATTCCTCCATCCGTCCCTCAGCCTTGTGCAGTCGCCATGTTAAACCATTATGATCAACGATTGAGCTGGTCAAAAATCCGCCTGCAGGAAAAAAAGCTTGAATTCATCACTCCATCATCGACTACTGACGCGTGGATCACAGCACTGACGCCTGGACATGATTTGCAGCACAAACACACATCCACAGAAATGTTCAAAGGTACAAGCAGCTGTGCCAGCGTCTTTTTTCCTTTATTTTACGTGACGCTTCACCAAAACAGAGGGCTTCACGTGGACGGTTGTTCTGGGATTTCACATGAACACCTGGCTGTTTGTTCAGCGCCTGGATTTTTTTTCTTTTTTTCAAGAATCAATTATGACTTAATTATGTGCTTAACAAGTATTTGATTGTGTGCGTTTTAAAATGCCCAGCTCTGATGCTTTTCTGGATCATCGGCATCCTCACACCTGGATCACAGTTGTTGCTGCACACACCAGAGAGTAATCATCACTTAATTTGTGTTTGTTTGTCAGTAGCTTTGTTCACTCTGTACATCACCTGGGCATTTAATGAAATGTGGGCTGCTTCATATCATTCCATCTTTGTTGCTCGTGCCATGATTACGTCCTTGGAGCAGTTTTAGATCCACAGTGTTCGCTGCCTGTCTGCAATACCTCAAAACTGTTCCGGTATTTATGAAGTCCTTGAATTGATAGAATTGCTTTTATCAGAGTGGTAGAACCCAAACAAACTATCATATTACTGTACTGACTCATGTTCTAGTTTATTAAATACATATCACTATTTTATTTAATATATAGCACTATCAAATGTTAGATAGGAATTATTTTCTCACGCAACTAGTCTGCAAATTCGTTATGAAGTGAGGAAAAAAAAAATACTGATGGGTATATTTGCTGCGTTGCATAGTTTGAATTAGTTTGAATATATGTTGCTAGCACAGCCCCTCCCCTCGGCTCTAAGTGTGAGAGGTCAGTCTACCACAGAACTGGACCACGTCATTTAAATCGCATTTCTTTTTGCAAAGGACCTTAAAAGCCATTTACCATAAAAGGAGCAATTTAAATGTGCAGCATAAATAGTGTAGATAAATAGAGATATAAAGCAAGTATAACTCGCTCTTTTTTTGTATAGCTTGTATATAATCCTGTAAGATGCACTGTTTTCTAAATATTTTATTACACGCCATCTTTACATATATGTACAGAATTGCAGGCTTACGAATGTGAAATTCAATCTTAAAACCGAGTCGTGCATGCCCCCCACGGTCTTTGATTGTGAATGTGAGCTGCTCACAGGACTCACAAACTTGGCTGAATCGTCTAAAATCAAATGTGAATTCTGTTTGTTTGATTTTCTTGTTGCGTGTGTAAGAAAGGTGTTTTGCACAGTTGCCCTCTTATACGCGTTACATCAAAAGCCATCCTGTCGTCAGTATTGAAGAGATCACTGCTAACCTTTGGATCAGTATTTGTTACACTACCCACTGTGGGACCAGTTTTTGATGGGGCAACATGTTGAAAATATAAAATATAGAATATGTAGTGAGTTGGGCCTCTTTGTCTTTTATTCAATGAGCTTCAAAGCAAGAAACCAAAGATGAAAGCTTTGATGTATTTGCTTCCTTGATTCTAACAGATTATTCACAAGTGACAACTGATCTCATTTATGAATCAAGTTATTAATTTGATAAACTCTTAGATCACCTTGGAAACTCACCCAGGCCCAAAGTGTTGCAACAAAATACACACAAGTCAATGTTACGAGTGTTTATGTATTAAATATCACAGATGTATGCATTAAGTATTATTTGCTTTGGTAAAGGTAAAGAAATCATTGCGGTTTTCTTACCTTCAAATGTGAATCTGCGTATTTATCCATTTTATTATTCTGTTTCTCCTCTACGAGATTTTGCTTAAACGGCTAACTTTGTTTTTTACATTATCCTGCACACTCTTGAATTTTGTCGTTATCATAATTGTGCCAAATGTTTTTATATACATTGATACTTTAATTTTACTTTTATTATAGACTTATGACTTGTGAGAAATATTACAGCTGGTTCTGTGAGAATATTTTGAACTGGAAAATGAAATTTTTGTCTTATTGCTAAGTTTTAATCACGTCTTACAACGATTCTTTCGGGGACAGAAGGTGTTTGATTGTCTGACGTACTTAACAAATAGCTTAACGCGGCTATTGTGCATTAACATAGTGGAATGTGACCTAATATTACCAGGCTAAGAGGTGCTCGCTAACAGGGCCAAAATATGCCGTAACTATTAGCTAACTTGCAGCTCCTAGCTAATGCTGTTAGCTGTTATATGAAAGCAAAGCTTGGCTAGCAGTACCGAAATGAGTCACTTTTCTCATAAACAAAAGGACTTGTACACACGTAGCATACTTTGCGCTAATATTTACATAGATTCAGATTGTAAGGCACCTTAAAACTGTTATCCTTGTTTGAAGTGGATAACAACTAAAATTAAATTTGGTTAGATTAAATTCTGGCGAGCATGTCACGAGTAAATACACCTTACCTAGCTTGCTTTTTTTAAATTAACTTTTTTACCAATAATGTTAACATTTTTTTAAAACCTGTAGGCTACTGTATATGTGGGTTTTTGTTTTAAGTATGGAATAGGACAAGTACATAGAGACTGTTGCTGTGCTAGCTTGTGGTCAGGCTACTGTATATGTGGGTTTTTGTTTTAAGTATGGAATAGGTTCCATACTTAAAACAAAAACCCACATATACAGTAGCCTGACCACAAGCTAGCACAGCAACAGTCTCTATGTACTTGTCCTAACAAGTACATAGAGACTGTTGCTGTGCTAGCTTGTGGTCAGGCCTACAGGGAAAGGTGACAGTGTAGAACCGACAGCTTTGGTCAGGTTCCTGAGCAGGACCGTGGCCAGACTAGACAGGAGAGCAGACCAAAACCTAGTGCTCCACAGTTCTTATAGTTTTTGTTCAGCTCTAACTTTCAGTTATCGAACAGCCTGTATCTGCTCATCCTGCTTCCACACTCTGTCATACACCTTTAGGGTATATGCTGGGAAATAAACCAGCTCTAAAATGAGTTCTGACTCCATAATTCTCATTTGTCTTCAAAACTGATTAAATTGCAGAGTTCATTATGAAATTCTGTTACAATAACCACTTTTCTTTTACATGGTCTAACATTGGAATGATTGAGAGTATCTGTCTTTCTCTCTGGACTGCTTTAAGTAACAGCATATGAAATCAGCTCATCTGCAAGCTGACCAGTTTGACACCTAATAACAGTTTCCTTTTTTATCAGGGTTTATCCATTTATGATCTTAAGCTACTCTTTTAGAGAATGAGGATATTTTTCTGGTTTATTTGAAGCAAAGTGCCTGCTGCTGCCACTCTTTGCTCCCTGTTGCTTAGCACTGGACGATCGCTGTATCACTAATGAGAGAGCGAGGGAACAGCGCACTTCCTCCTACACCTTCCACTGGTTAAAAACGTGATAGATTCTGTATCAGGCCTGTGGTGACTCACATCCTTAACTCTCCCACAAACTCTTTTTCTCTCACTTTTCACAACTCATTTCCTCTTGCTGCCACTTTTCATCCCCTCGGCATCTTTTCCCCACCTTCAGCTTCATGCTCCCACCCCTGGCTGTCTCTTTAGCTTCCCACGTCCGCTTCCTTTTATTTCAGTTCGGTTCACGGAGACCTGTCGCATCAGATTGCACATCTTTATTGCACCAAGTAGAATTGCACAGCTTTTCAGATTAAAAGTAAGGTTTAATTGATGGAGATGGACCCAAACATTTAGCCCAACCTCATTATTTCTCCGGATTGTGTTGCAAAGTGGGATGAAGCATGATACAGGACGAAAAAAAATGAATACAAAGCAGCTTGCGTTTTTGCAGTATTCACTTAAGTGTCAGCTGTTGTTTTCCACCCTGTGGATGTGATGTGTGGGAGAGTGTGATGAAAACTGGTGTTTAAAAAGGAAGAATTCAGTCTTCAAGGAAAGGAAGGACAAAGTTGGAGGAGGTAGTTAGGAGGTTTTAGTCAAGTGTCAATAGGAGGAGCGAGGAAGAGGCTTCAAGAGGCTTAATTTGTAAAGCGCTTTGGGTGCCTTGAAAAGCGCTATATAAATCCAATCCATTATTATTATTATTAATTTCTTTAAATAATACCTAGAACATATGTTTAGATATCTATATAGCTTTGGTTGTGATGAAGAGAAGGAGGAAGAGAATGTGAAAGGGGTGCTGACTGCATACATTGGCCTTTTAAGATTAAATATTGACATTTATTGCGTCATTCATCAATAAGCAAAATGATTTTCCTGGTGAATTTTGGGGGGGTGATAGTTTCCAAAATCCAACTAATTCCATGTTACATACATGGTAGTCTGACTTTATTCTTTAGTTTTTGGTGTTATTTGACCCACAGAACCGTTGTTTTGAGATTATATAAGACCAAATATTATATGGCTAAATATCTGAAAATATATCTGTCTGCTCCTGTATCATTTATAAGATAATTATTTTGATACTTTGGTATATTTTTGCACTGGACCTTTGTTTTATGCATTGTACACTGTACCCCTCATGCTTTGATACGAACACACACTAACTCGTGTTTCCATGTAAAACGGTGAGGCCACAATAAATATGTTGAATCAAGTATCGTCTGTTTCTTTCTAGTTTTCACTGATAGGACGACTTTATTTAATCCACTGATGGGTTGATTTGCACGCTGATATTTCTGATCACACTGCATCTGTCAAAGTGACAAAATATGTTGTGTTTGTCCTTGTTGGCATCAACAGAAACATTCTGTCACTCATTTTCTAATGATGACTCTAATATACTGAAAAGAAAAAGAATATCACATATATGTTTTAATGCATTTCCCATTTAGAAAGGATCATTTTATTAGACTCAGATTCCTGTTGGCCAAAACTGAAGTGGGGATAGAAGCCACTAACATCGAGACATGAAAGCTCCTTACCATGCATGGACGGTTTCACCCCAAATCCAGCACTTTGACACTGTGCGCCAAGTGGAACGAAGAAAGCCGAGGACCAGTGAGAGTCAGAACAACTGTCCAGGATGAGACGACGAACATCCATGATTTCATCAGGCCACAACTGACCTTGTGCTTGGAGCTTATCTCAAGCAGCAGAAACCTGAGAAAGAAGAGGACCAAGGAGAAGAACCATCGTGGAAGGACAGGCCCCTGCACGCACGGTATGTACCACTGGCAGATAGAGGAAGTTGCTGACATCCAGAAGTCCTACCAGTGGCTGGACAAAGCTGGACTGACAGCACAGAGGCACTAATCATGGCAGCACAGGAACAAGCTCTGAGCACAAGATCCATAGAGGCTGGGGTCTATCACAGCAGGCAAGACCCCAGGTGCAGGCTGTGTAAAGATGCCCCAGAGACACACATAACAGCAGGGTGCAAGATGCTAGCAGGCAAGGCATACATGGAACGCCATAACCAAGTGGCCGGCATAGTGTACAGCAACATCTGTGCCGAGTATAACCTGGAAGTCTTGAAGTCAAAATGGAAGACGCCACCTAGGGTGGTGGAGAATAACCGAGCTATGATCCTGTGGGACTTCGTAATTCAGACGGGCAAAGTGGTCATGGCTAACCAACAGGACATAGTAGTGGTGGACAAGCAGAGGAAGAGCGCCGTAGTGATACCGAATGACAGCAACATCAGGAAGAAGGAACACAAGACGCTGGAGAAGTACCAAGGGCTCAGAGAAGAGCTCGAGAAGATGTGGAGGGTGAAGGTAGCAGTGGTACCAGCAGAGCACTAGTTATAGTGACAGGGAACAACATTGAAAATCTCTGTCCAGAAGAGCAAGAGCGCAGTCGTAGAAACAGCAAAGATGCTGTACAAGGCGTGCGAGCTCCCAGACCCCTCGCAGAGGACCTGTAGGGATCCTGTATGGATCAATGTAGGTTTTGCATATTCAGGCATGTATTTTAAACTATCCCAGAAGCTTCTATGTCCATTACTTTAATAAGTGAAGCCTTTTGGAATGAGATGATTCTGTTTGATGTACTCAGTATATTGCATCAGTTAGATCTATGTGAAATATGATGAATAAAGCCCTGATGAGCTGAGCTTGAGTGTGATCTGTTTTCCAAGGTTGTGTATTCACGTCTCCCTCCGTCTGTCCGACTCTCTCTGGTTCTCAGGTTTCTACCCAAAGACTCACTGGCACCGGTTGCAGGTTTTCTGGCCCCTGTCTCTCACACTTGGATGAAGTTTGGTCCGGTCATGACGCCTCCGCCACTTTTTGTAATTTCAGATGGAACAATATATCTTTATAGTTTGTGCAGCAACGTGCAACAAGCTAGCTCTGTGTCAGCTATCCATGGTCATTTGGATTTGGCATTAGCTGTGCACATTAGCACAAAGGCATGAGGCACCGGCTGGGGCAGACTTGAGCTTCCCTATTCTCTTTGACCATTAATTAACACTTCACTCTGCTCTAAATTTGCTCCTTCCGTACCCCTCTAACCAAACCCCACGTGGCTTCCTCTCACCCCCCCTCCTCAGCCTCAGATTCCCCCCTAACCCCGTCCCACACCCCAACCTCTTCAACACACACACACAAGCTCCTGCTTGTGGAGCGTCCAGTAACCAAGCCATGACTGGCAGCCACACAGTCATATAGCAGTTTTGGTTTTAACATTTGGATTTTCTGCTTGTTGGATCAATATATTTGTTGTTATTCTTGGTTTTGTGGCCTGCTGGGGATAAAGCAGACAGGTAAGGATGGGGATATTTTTGCGGAAGTTCACTTCAGATGGGTTAAAGATTGTGTTGAGGATGCAGAGCTGCCTGTTGCTTGTCTAAATTAAGCTAGGAGCATATGACACACAATTACAGCATGGAGGAACTTGTGCAACCCAGCTTGCATTTCAGATCATTAGCTTTTCGGTAGAGACATCCAGAAAGTTTCGCAAAAGTGTAAGTCCAGCATGTGTGGCATGCTTCAAGCCCTGCTCCTTGTCAGGATTCAAAGAAAAGAGAAAGCAAAAGTCAAGTTAATCAGATCATCAAATGGTGTAATTCATTTGGTCCATGGCCAATGAGATCCTGATACTGCAGGCAGTACTGGAGTGACTGAGTTTGCAGCCAGAAGGAAGAGGACAGCTGGAATGATCTGTCTAAAGTTATTTATAATTTATATGCTGCGTCATGTGCTATCTAGCTATATTTCATTGACAATAGTTACCTCGACACGCTATTATTTTAACTACCAACCTTTGTAGCTATGTAACTTCCTACCTACATGCTTATCTAATAACCTACCTTTCTACTCGCCTATCCATCTGTTGATCTACCTACTTACTTTCCCCTGGCTGCCTTCAGCTTCTAGTGACACCACTAAAGATTCTTTGTAGTTACTGTTACAAAACGGCATATATCAAAAGAGAACATCCCAATGCACATCTTTAAATTAGCACAATGATAGTCTTTGAAAAATATATAGGCACACTCAAAGACAGTGGTGCAAACTATCCACGTAGGATATCCAGTGCAGCAAATGAAGAGCGGAATTTAAAGGGTATAAATAAAAAAAGGAACTGTGTCAGTTACATGTCCTGCAGTGTGAGGCAACATAAGACATACCAGCCAAATTTGAGCTGTGTGTGTGTACAAGCCTGGCATGCCTGTGTGACACTGTGTTCAGCCACTGGGTTCTGGTTGGCCAAAAGAGAGATCAGGTGACCCAGTCTGCGCTAAATTGGTCCTGTGCACAGCCAAGCTGAGGAGGTAGGAGAATTGGAGAGTCATAGGTTGAGGACTAGGACGGTTTCTGGAGTGATGCAACTGAGAAAATTCAAAACGTATTTTCTCTTTGTTATCAGTAGTCCCTTTACAAAGAGTTGGCCTTTGAAATCACCTCTTCACTAAAAAATTAAGTCACTTATTGATAAATGGCTGAATAAGAAAGAAGAGCATGTGCAAAAAGGGTGTAGCTATTGCAGTATACAGTGTGTTAAGTCGATGAGTTGTAGAGGGAGCAACAGGCAGGAATGATTTCCTGTGTGGTTCAGTGGTGATTTTTGGTAATTATTTGGTGTTATCCAACATTGTCTTTATCTTGGACAACATCCGCCTCTCCAACACCACTTTAAGGGAGTCCAGCTCCATCCCCTCAACATTACAGACCAACATACCCAACATAGTTGTTGGGTATGTTGGTCTGCTCTGACTTTCTGCTCTGAATTCCGCAAAAAATTTCCAACTGGGAATGTCAAATTTCCGAATTCTGACTTATTTTGGAACGCACCAAAACAACCATTGTTACCAATATTAGCATTTAGCTTAAATTACTACTGTATCTGAACAGTCTCAGAGAAACGCTGGAGTGAACCAAGATTCATGCTGTTAGAGAAGATACAATTTAATTCCTTATCATATCCTGCTGCGATCACAAAACATCATACCATATACAGTATAAACTGACACTAATGCTACATTCACTTACTTAAGAGTCTTCTATTAATTACAAAGATATTTCCTGGAAAGACCCATGTATTAAATATATTTCTTAATGTACAACAATGAATAGTACTAGATTTATAGTTTCAGTTTTTCATAAATAACTAATAATAGCTGTGTGCAGTATGCATCATGTAATGCTACTTTTATCATTACAACTGAGTAAAGCAACAGTGTGTGCCTTTTTGTATCTTTTCTCTTTGCTGGTGTGCTCTTGGTCTGGTCACAGAGATGTATGGAAAAAGTTTAACATGATGTTTGTGTTTGTGCATTTTGCTTAGCCTGTTATAAACCTCCTACATTCAGTGGTTAATACATTACTCTAGATTTTTGGAGGGTACTTTTCAAAGCCCACAGGTTTATATAAAGGTTGCTTTGTTAGCTAATTTTAACACGGTCCACTTCATTCTGGATTTCTGCTCTAATGTGCCACTCCTGTCCACAGCTGAGAGCTGCTAGTGGCTGAAAGCTTCATGGTGTTGTGTACACCAATGAGGGATCTGTTTAAATGAGCAAGGCTGGCTGTTTCTTCCTGTTTGTCAGAATCTCCTCGTCGACTGCAGGACAGCTCAGTTTTCTTTGATAACTGTAAATGACACATCTATACATGCTGTTAGTGTATAAAATAGATCATTTATGCTAATAACACAGGTTGGAGGATACGTTTGTGGCACCTGTTAACTATCACCACTCACCGTTTTTAATAGCAAACCAAATGACAAACAGTCATCACCATGACTCATCTCCAAAGGCTGGCTTTCTCCTGTCAGGTGAGAACAGGTGCACTGGAAATGCACTTACTGGAATACTGAACTCAGACAGAGTGCAGCCATCTTCCTCTTTCCCCGTGTTACAGAATCAGTGGGCTCAACATGCTGTTAAAAATACCAGCCATGATTCTTCATTGACACATCAGTGAGCAACACGGAGTCGTGTGCCATACACATTAGCAAGCCATATTGACAAATTACATGCAAATGTTCAGAGTAGCAGTCTGCAGTAATAGGGACCTACGATTGGTCTAAAGATATGTGATTTTACATATGCATTATACTGTATTAATGCTTCTCACCACACAGACCAGTCACTGTATTCAGAGCTCTGGTGCAGGAGCCCACCGAACTCCTGGCCATGTTTGACTGGGTATGGCTTCAGGGAAACAGGAGGTCTGAGATGGGTAGCATCTTTCCTCTTTGAGGGCTGCTAAAGGCCAACTGGCAATACGCTTCTGGACGATCTAGTGATGATGTTTGTTCTCCTTTGGATTCATGTTTTAACATCTTCTGTCAGTCTGGACGTCCTTTCGTCTCACTTTAAACTTTAGGCACTTAGAAAAACTTAATAATCTGAAGGCATGACAGTCTACATCGGACACCCAGGGAGGGAGGTCATACTGAGAAGCCTCCAGCAAGTTGCATTATGGGAAATGTAGGGTCTAATACTGCTCAGTCTTCACCTACACTAAAGCAAAAAGGATGCCACTGTCACCCGTGTCTTTGATTTGCCTGTCGTCGGATAATATCAATGTTACATCCTTGTTTGGGACGTCACTGAACTTGGCTGTCACTGCTTGTGTGCCTCTGTCCATCTGTTGCTTGCCAGGTAGTGGATTTGTTGGACTGCATGAACTTGTCCTGTTGTCGCTGCCACACATTCTGCAGTTATATAAGAGAGACAATTGATACAAAGGGTTTAGCAACAGTTGCTGTTGTATCAGCAGTGGGCTTTAGTACGCGCACACACAGCTGTTTGGAGTGATTATGTGAGGGGAAAACTGGATGTACACACGGATGTCATACATGCCTTAGTTGTTTCTTCTTTCTTAAGCTGTGATCCTCTCATTTAGACAATGTTTAGGCTGTGTTTATTTGACTGCTGTGACCCCATGTAGCACAACTAGTACAAATAGTAACCCAGCTAAGATGTACTGTTGTAGATTAAATGTATATAATTCTAGAGTAAAGACTTTTCTTTACCTCTGCGACTTCGACATGGAGATGCGTTGATTTATCACAGCTCAGACAGTCTGTGCAGTGCTTAGGAGGTGACAAAGTTTAATTTAGCCCAGAAACCTGAACCTCAGGCAGCTCCTTCTCTGAAACCAAGACAGACCTCCCAAGGCCGGAAGGCTGAGATCTGAGGGAGTCTTTTGGGTGTATGAGTCTCCTTATGCCTTCAGTTAGCTCAGATATGGCCATGCTGTTGCCAAACAAAGTCATGGAGAAACAGTGACCTGTTGCAAGAGTGATTTGGTGCCCTGTTTGAGGAATCCAGTGTGTGAGCTCAAGCGTTTAAGCTTATATGTTTCCACGTCTAACTTTGAGTCTGCGTAAGCGTGCGTGACCATTCATTTGTTTGGGGATGATAAATAGTAATACAAAACATTACTGTGTTTGTATATCACCACCTGAAAGAAACAACAGATCAATAGAAATGCATGTAATCAAGCTTGAATTTAGCTGTATTAAATATAACTGCTGGAGGTTTCTTCCTGTTAAAAGGGAGTTTTTTCTTCCCACTGTTGCCAAGGTCTTCCTCAGAGGGGATTGTCTGATTGTTGGGTTTTCTCTCTAAGGTCTTTACAATATAATTTGCATTGAGGCAAATGTGGCTGTAAAATTTAATTCAAGGCAAACAAAGTGTTGTGTGTTATTTGGTTGTGAAATCCTGCTTTGAAGCTTTGAGTTCAGTATTATAAATGAGGGGTGGAAGTGACTGTGAAACGAACAGCTCGTCAGTTACAAAGTAGCTCCGTCCTGCCTTATTATCAGTTTTACTATCATTTGGACAAAACTTCTTCTTGTTGCAGTAAGATAGTTCTCTCCATTCTGGCCATTTGGAAGAATGCAGATTTAAGGCACATCTTTTTTTTATACAGTCTATAAATTAAACCTGTCTAAAGTTTCACTAGACGTGAAATCTCATAATTACATAGGCTTTGTGCACGTTCATTGATCCAAACGTGACGTACAGTCCTGCCAAGATGTTGTTTTAATCAACACCCGACTGTGTGTCTTTTTTAAACAGGGGCTCATCCAGCTTTAATCTCAAGCATTTGTCTGAGGCGTTTTCTGGCCAGGGATGCTCTCAGAAGATTTTACTGATACCAGTGCCGACATCAGTTTTGTTTATAGGCCTACACATGTTCAGCATTAATCCAAAAATGTGTTACTTATTTGATGGTTTACACAAAACAGAAAGACAGCAGAAAGGAGGCTTACAATCCAGGAAATAATTATTTGATCTCTGGCTGAATTTTTAAGTCTGCTCACGTACAAGGAAATGAATAGTTTTTAAATTTTATGCTTGTTGCAATTTAATGGAAAGAGACAGGTTATCGACCAAAGACAGAAAGAAGTATTTCATCCCCTAAAATGCAGTCAGAACAAGCTCCCACAGATTGGCTCAATCAACCTACCAGTCGATCAGTTACAGATTCGCTTGATCTCAACTCGTATGTATAAAGCACACCCGTCCACATGATCAGTTTCTTCCATTCCAACCTCTCCATCACCACGGGTAACACCAGAGAGCTGCCAAAGGACGTCAGGGACAAGGCTGTAGACCTGCACAAGGCTGGACTGGACTAAAAGACCATCAGTGCGCTATAATGGATTGAAATCTTGCGATGCAAAGTCACCCTGCTCAAGAAGGCACATATACAGGCCCGTTTTAAGTTTGCCAGTGAACATATAAATGATTCAGTGAAGGGTTGGCAGAAATCAAAAATGTGAGAATGTGTGTGACCCAAAGAACACCATCCCAACACTCCAGCACACCTGTTTGAACCTGTTTTTCTGCTAAGGGTACAGGACAGCTTGACTAACATTAAGCCCCATTAAGAGGCCAATGGATGGAGCAATGAACCATAAAACCAACAGCCAGAACATTGAAGATGGGTCATGGATGGGTCTTCCAGCCTGATACTGACCCAAAACATACTGCCATGTCATGGAGTGGCTGAGCCCGTCTCCAGAGCTCAGTCTGACAGAAAATCTATGGAGGAACGTGAAGCTTTGAGTTGCTGAGCAGCAGCCAAGAAATCTAAAGGATTTAGAGAGTTTCTGTAAAGAGGAGTGGACCAAAGTCCGTCCTGAAACCTGCTGAACAACTACATGAAACGCCTCACCATTGTGCTCGCCAGCAAGGGTTTCTAAGCCAAGTTTTAAGTCATGTTTATTAAATGACTCGTGTGCAGAAGCAAACAAAAACTGAACTGTTGGAAAAAACATTGAATTAATATGATTTAATGGGTTGGAATCTAATTCTTGATTAACATCTTATTAGTGGCTAAAAGTCTCTGCTGGTGCTTTGTAAAATGAAATGTATGTGTTCAGTCATACCTGCAGACACTCATTTCTACAACACTGTAGCACAGCATGTTTGAGAGTGTCCCTTTGTCTTTGCAGGACCTCTGTCACTGCAGCCTGGAACATGGAACAGTAAGTTAGACCTGCACACAAACACACGTTTCCTTTTCATGAACCATAAGTAATACTTGACTCAATTTAACCTAATTTTATCATAAATCTTTACTTTAAATTTCTAATGATTGTAAGATGGAGACTTACTTTTTGTCCTTAACAATAAGGAAAGAATCCCCACAGTGTGACTCTGTATACAGACTTATGTCCTCACAACCCGAGGAAGCATCCAAACACAGATTTATTCATTTCATTATTGCCGATTAGAGTCCAGAAGGTGCAGAAGAAGACAAGCACCATGTCTCTGACCATCTCCTCCTCCTCTGCTGCTGCATCCTCCACTCGTGAGCTCTCCTCCTGCTCCTCCACCATCTCCTCCTCCTCCTCCTCCACTCTCCTCGGTCAGAGACACTCCAGCCTGGTGCAGCCGCTGTGTGTCAGCCCTCAGAGGGTAATTACAGCCATTTAAAATGAGTCATTTCACCTCATTCGATAAAACACACGAGTATGTTTCATTAAGGGGATAAACTGGTTAAATAGCTAAATGTCATTTTAATGTCCTGTAATGTTGAAAGCAACCTTTTTGTAAATAAAGAAATGGACATGGCAAATGATTTTCAAACAAATTAGGTGATTTATATTATTCCATTTCCCCAGACTCAGAGTCCCATCTACAACCAGCAGCATTCAAGCAGCGCAGTGGCTCCCACATTTGTTAAGGTGAAATAAATGTGCACTCTTGTATTTGTTCATGAAAGTGCACAAAGACAATCAGAAACCATATTCATATGAACCTGTTGTCATACCTTCTCTTGATCATGGTCATCATTGCTCCCTCTGCCAGTGTCTCCACGACGTGTCTACGGTGAAGGGTCAGCTGGTGGTCCTGGAGTGCAGACTGAGGGGGACTCCGCCCCTGCAGGTTATGTGGTACAGAGAGGATGAGCAAATACTGGACTCCGATGATTTTAGGATACTCCGCAAGAGTGAGTGTTTTCATACTTGCTCTGATTTTCCTAAATCTTGGTTCTAACATGTGCCCTCCATACCATTATAAGAGACAGTAATTAAAACTAGACAGCGGAAATTTCTTCAGAAATTTTGAGTCTGCCCATGCTACAGCCAGGTCAGTTGACAGAAGACATCAGGATCTACATGACTGGAGCAAAGAACTGCTGAGTTTTAAACAGGCTCATCAGTCATCTGCAGTCATCAGTGCACAGCTGTGAGGACCGGTTACTATAGTAACTCCTCTGAGTGGCAGGAGGAGGAGGGGGGGGGGGGGGGGTGATGGAATACACACTCTTCTGCACCTTAGGGTCAGACACACAGGGCAAGCAGGATTTAAGCTCTGAAAAAAATGTTTTCCTAGAGGAAACTATAAGTTGTATTGCAAAAATTTCTTCACCGTGACCGAAAGCCACTTCCAGTCTACAAAATATTCAATTTTCATATCTGTAGACTTTATTATATTGATGTGGTGACAGTGTAAAGAATTTCAGTGAGCTGAAATTTGGGAGCCGATTTAAATGGACCTCTATGGGGAACAGACAGGGAGGAGGCTGCACTTTGATGGCATTTGCGAGGAAACCATTACTCCTATGTCATTGAGGATGACACTGAATGAAAGAGGGCAACGATAGTTACGTTTATATATATATATATATATTAGGGGTGCAACGATACACAAAATTCACGGTTCGGTTCGATACTTTGGTGTCACGGTTCGATATTTTTTCGATACAAAAAAA